CACTTTAAATATGCCCTGCCACTCCCTTCTGGCCTGCAGAGTTTGTACTGAAAGATCAGCTGTTAGCCTTATGGAGAGTCCCTTGTATGTTATTTATTGTTTTTCCCTTACTGCTTTTAATATTTTTTCTTTGTATTTAATTTTTGATTGTTTGATTAATATGTGTCTTGGCGTGTTTCTCCTTGGATTTATCCTGTATGGGGCTCTCTGTTCTTCTGGGACTTGACTAGTCCCTTTCTCATATCAGGGAAGTTTTCAACTATAATCTCGTCAAATATTTTCTCAATCCCTTTCTTTTCCTCTTCTTCTGGGACCCCTATAATTTGAATGTTTGTGTGTTTAATGATATACCAGGGGTCTCTGAGACTGTCCTCTATTCTTTACATTCTTTTTTCTTTATTCTGCTCTGTGATAGTTATTTCCATTATTTTATCTTTCAGGTCACTTATCCCTTCTACTGCCTCAGTTATTCTGTCATTGATTCCTTCTAGAGAATTTTAAATTTTACTTATTGTGTTGTTCATGATTGTTTGTTTGCTGTTTAATTCTTCTAGGTCCTTGTTAAATATTTCATGTATTTTCTCCGTTCTATTGCCAAGATTTTGGATCATCTTTACTATCATCATTCTGAATTTTTTTTCAGGTTGACTGCCTATTTCCTCTTCATTTTTGAGGTCTGTTGGGTTTTCACCTTGCTCCTTCATCTGTTGTGTGTTTCTCTGTCTTCTCATTTTGCTTTACTTACTGTGTTTGGGGTCTCCCTTTCTTGGGCTGCCAGTTCGTAGTTCCTGTTGCTTTTGGTGTCTGCCCCCAATGGGTAAGGTTGGTTCAGTGGGTTGTGTAGCCCTCCTGGTGTTCTGGTGCCTGTGTTCTGGTGGATGAGGCTGGATCTTGTCCTTCTGGTGGGAAGGACCGCGTCCAGTGGTGTGTTTTGGGGTTTCTGTGACCTTACGATTTTACGCAGCTCCTCTGCTAATGGGGGAGTTGTCCTCCTTTCTTCGTAGTTGTTTGGCATAGGGTGTCCAGCACTGTAGCTTGCCGTTCGTTGAGTGGAGCTGGGTCTTAGCGTTGAGATGGAGATCTCTGGGAGAACTTTCGCTGTTTGATATTATGTGGCGCTGGGAGGTCTCTGGTAGACCAATGTCCTGAACTCGGCTCTCCCACCTCAGAGGCATAGGCCTGACACCCGACTGGAGCACCAAGAACCTGTCAGCCACACAGCTCAGAAGAAAAGGGAGAAAAAAGAAAGAAAAAAAGAAAGGAAGGAAGGAAGGATGAAAGAAAGAAAGGAAGGAAGGAAGGAAGAAAGAAGGAAAGAAAGAAAGAAAAAGATAAAATAAAGTTATTAAAATAAAAAATAAAAATAATTATTAAAAATAAAAAAAAATAAAAAGTCATTGAAAAAGGGAAAAAAAAAGAAAGAAGGAAAGAAAGAAGAAAACTACCAAACCAAAAAACAAATCCACCAATGATAACAAGCATTAAAAACAATACTAAAAAAAAAGAAAAAAAAGGATAGTCAGAACCCTAGGACAAATGGTAAAAGCAAAGCTATATAGACAAAATCACACAAAGAAGCATACACATACACACTCACATAAAGAGAAAAAGGAAAAATATATATATATATATTTAAAAAAAAAGGAAGAGAGCAACCAAATCAATAAACAAATCTACCAATGATAATAAACTCTAAATACTAAACTCAGATAAACATAAAACCAGAAACAAATTAGGTACAGAAAACAAACCCCAAATCTACAGTTGCTCCCAAAGTCCACCACCTCAATTTTGGGATGATTCGTTGTATATTTGGGTATTCCACAAATGCAGGGTACATCAAGGTGATTGTGGAGATTTAATCCACTGCTCCTGAGGCTGCTTGGAGAAATTTCCCTTTCTCTTCTTTGTTCGCACAGCTCCTGGGGTTGAGCTTTGGATTTGGCCCTGCCTCTGCATGTGGGTCGCCTGAGGGTGTCTGTTCTTCACTCAGACATGATGCGGTTAAAATAGCAGCTGATTAGGGGCTCTGCTCACTCAGGCTGGGCGGAGGGAGAGGTACGGAATGCCGGGCGAGCCTGTGGTGGCAGAGGCTGATGTGACGTTGCACCAGCCTGAGGAGTGCTGTGTGTTCTACCGGGGAAGCCCTCTCTGGATCACGGGACCCTGGCAGTGGTGGGCTGCACCCGCTCCTGGCTGGGTAGGTGTGGATAGTGACCTGTGCTTGCACACAGGTTTCTTGGTGGCTGCAGCAGCAGCCTTAGCGTTTCATGCCCGTCTCTGGTGTCCACGCTGATAGCCATGGCTCGCGCCTGTCTCTGGAGCTCGTTTAGGCGTTGCTCTAAAACCCCTCTCCTCGTGCACCCTGAAACAATGGCTTCTTGCCTCTTAGGCAGTTCCAGACTTTTTCCTGGACTCCCTCCCAGCTAGCTGTGGTGCACCAGCCCTCTTCAGGCTGTGTTCACGCAGCCAACGCCAGTCCTCTCTCTGGGATCTGACCTCCGAAGCCTGAGGTTGAGGCTCCCAGCCCCCACCCACCCAGGCAGGTAAGCAAACAAACCTCTCAGGTTGATGAGTGGTGGTCGGCATCAATCCTCTGTGCGGGAATCTCTCCGCTTTGCCATCTGCACCCCTGTTGCTGAGATCTCCTCCGTGGCTCCGAAGCTTCCCCACCACCACCCCCTGTCTCCACCAGCGAAGGGGCTTCCTAGTGTGTGGAAACTTTACCCCTTCACAGCTCCCTCCCAGAGGAGCAGGTCCTGTCCCTATTCTTTTGTCTCTGTTTTTTCTTTTTTCTTTTGCCCTGCCAAGGTACGTGGGGAATTTCTTGCCTTTTGGGAAGTCTGAGGTCTTGTGCCAGCGTGCATTGGGTGTTCTGTAGGAGTTGTTCCACATGTAGGTATATTTCTGATGTATTTGTTGTGGGGAAGGTGACCTCCACGTCTTACTCCTCTGCCATCTTGAAGGTCTTGTGTGATAGGATTTTTTTGGTTTGTATTTTGTTTGTTTACCTTTGTTCCAGTTGTCAGGAGAAAAATATCTGAACTGCCCACCTCCAAATTTTGTTCCCCTCTACTTAATTCGAAGTGGCCAAGGTTTGGGAATCCTGTGGTAAAAACAGAGCTAACTGTCATTGGGATAAAGTTCTGTTCAGAAAAGGGAGTGCATTCCTTAGGAAGAAAGTCTCAAACATGTGCCACAATCCTATGCAGAGGGAATACAATGATCATATAGATTTTAAGTACTTTTAGCTACTGTAACATAGTCTCATGTTAAATTAATCAGTTAAGACTCTGCTATTTACCAGAATTCATGGCCATTTAGATAGTCTGTCTCCAGAGCCTGATGCCCCTGAGTAGTATCAAGTGACCAGACCTTCAAAAGAACAAACCAAATTTATCCTGAATTCCCTTAGCTTATCTGTGTACAGTATATAGTATCTTAACTTCATTTAGAATATGGAAATGGAAAGGTCCTCTGATAATCTAAGTGAATTTGATCCTCCAGACAACCTATGGTTGAACAAAGCATTCTTTGGCAAAGGACATTAAGATGTAGCTGGTAAGATATCCTTAAAATACACGTATACATACACACACACATTTGCAAATACCTAGTTTACACCATGAAACATACATATGTTTGTTTTTAGTTGCTAATAGGAAATGTTTATTCATGAGTGAAGCCAAAAAGAAATTATAAATGCATTTTAATACCTTGCTGATAAAATAACACTCCATCTTTGCACTCTTGTAAGGAATACAGGAAGATATTAGGAAAAAATCAAAGGAACAACTTTCTTAGAGTTACCACATCAGGAACAGCGTTCCAGAATCTTTTTATAAAACACATGCAAGTTACCATAGAATGAAATCAGTACTATTTCCTGATGGATTTAATGTTCAAATCAAGCAATGATATACTTATATGAATGTGTTTTTATGTAAGAAATGATATTTCCATCAAAACCTTTTCATTAACTGGTGTGCCTGTGGATCTACTACCAGGAAAAGAAAGGCAAGGGCAGATCATTAAATTTAGTCAGCATTAATCAGTGACATATGTAAGCAGAGGGTAATGTTCTCCCTGCAACAGCCTCCCCAAGCACAGTTTTGTTGGTATGAGAGAATGGAAAAACTGACAACAAAAGAAAATACATGTCATTGGCCCATAAGTAATTAATGTAATAATTTCCCCCTACTCTTTCATACTTATGGTAAATGTTAATGGAAAGTTAGTGTAAGTTCATGGGTAAAAAATGTACCTTTTATTAATACCAAAATGACATTTGGATGATATTTGTGAGTGATGGCTAAAAAGGAAAGTATTTATAAGTTGACAATAACTAAGCATACTGAATCATGTCAAGTAAGCTAAACAATGTATGCAGTTGCATTGATATAAGTAAAGCATATGAGAAAAACAGAATCTATATTATTAATGTCACTTCTGACGTCACTATTTTAAACTAATCTTTACATGCAGTGTTGAAAAAAATCAATCTTGGATTTTCAATCAATAGGGAAATGAAATAGTATTAAAATAAACTAAATCATATACATATTTATTTAACCAGTAACCCTAGATTGGTTTTACCATACAAAAACTTGTTTCTCATACGTAATGGGAAATGCCTTCCATAAAGAACTATGAATAAATTCATTTATATCTGGTCAATATCTTTAGTTGATTAACATATTTTGAAATTAATAAATTTGAAATATAGAGGATCACCACCTGAAGAATGTAATTTTCAAATTACTGTCTGTTACTAAAAGGCAACTTAATGGTATTTCTTTATATTGGTTATTTACTTCTGACTTTACTTTTGGTGCTTTTTAAAAAATGTCTTTCATTGTAAGTCATCAAATTATCATCCCAGATTGACATCTTTAAAAACTGCACAGCAAAGAAAAAATATTATATTCATACAGTCTACACAATTCAAATTATTAAAAAAGTTCAGAAATATTAGAGGTTTTTTGATACCTCTTTCTTACCTGCTTGTGGGCATGGTCATATGAATTAATGTGATTGTCAAACTCCTGATGCTTATAGTACTGCTTGTCACAGAGTTCACAGTAAAAATTAGCCTTCAGATCTTCCAGAGCTTTTGCTATGCTGTTCTCCTTCTCAGCATAATCCTGAAAAATAAAATTTCAAGGAAGGAAGCAATTAGTTTTCCTCTGAGTTTCCTTTCTTCTGACAGTTGACAACTTTAGTATAGTAATTAAAATTTAAAATAATATAACCGAGAAAGAGAAAAATAAAGCAAATAGCAGCGAACCAAATTAGGAGAAATTATCAGTTAAAGAAAATTAAAGATTAACAGAAGAAGTCAAAATAAATGATGAAAGAATAGTAGAAATATGGAGAGGAAAAACAAATCACAGAAAGAAATAGAAGCCCTTGCTTAAACAAGTTCCTGTGCTGTTAGCACAGAAAAATATACGAAACACATAGCTGTTGATTCAACTGTTGATTTCTGGCAATGACTTAGCTAACATAAAAATTTTAAACTCTGAACAACATCTAAAATATGTCCTTTATGAAGAGGTCCATATTGGTATGCAAATATTCAAGATTGTTTTTTTTGTTTGCTTGTTTGCAACTTATTCATCCCAAGTAGCTTTTATTTGACTAATGTTTTCATCTTGACCCATATCAATTTAGGTTGAACTTTAAAAAATTCTCTAGTCTTTGGAAAATGAGATTCTTTTCTGCAAGTTATTTACCTAAACTGAAAAGATTTAAACTGTATAACAGATGGCTTTCATCATGCTGGTAGTAAATAAAGATGACTATACAATCAAACTCCTGAAAATATGAAAAATGCAGTGATTATCATTAGCTTTCATTTACAAAGCATAAAATAGCAAAATGTTTGTAGGTCTTAGGTTTTCTTAAATCTAAATTTACTTGCTATTTCATGCTTCCTTAAATGTTGATGTTGCCAGACATGAATAAATATTACATGTTGAAACACTGCCCAAGTCTTTCACTGAAGTGCTGATAAAAGAAGACCTAAACTTCGATCCCTACCTTAGAATATATTACATTTCTAATTTACATATTGTCATGCTCAACTTCTTTAAAATTCAAAATCACTACATATTGAGGCCTCTTATGTGCTGCCATAAGACACTCACTTGTTCCGGCACAAGGATTTGGAGATGAAATGGCACAGTCTTCTCTATGTCAATGACAATTGTCCTCTCACTAAATATACAGGCTAGAAAGAACTCATAGTTTGAATGTTTAAATTGCTTCTACAAAATTTGAAAGTGGTTTACTAATTGTAATTTAATAAATGGTTAATACTTTCCTTACTTTATTGTGCTATATATTTGTGTACACATCATATCATAATGTACACCATCATTCATATGTATAACTTGTATACCTTGTAGTAATGCATAATGCATTTGTCATAGTCTGTATATACATAGCCTTCTTTCTCACTTTAAAGACAGTGATTCATTATTATCTTTGATTAGTTTTATCAACTGCACAGCAAGAGGTGATAAATTGCAAAATCATTCAAATTGTTCATATATGAGTTGTCAATTTGAAAAATTTACCATTTCTCATCAGATTTGTGAAATATTCCCCATTATTCTTTTTGATTGCATCCAATATGTTTAAAAAAAGAGTTAGTTTAAAAAGATGAAAATGAGTCTCATAGATCTAAGCTGCTTACTGAATTTTTACAAAATCTTCAAAATAATACTTTGGGGATTATCCAATTTAAATGAAATAATAATTAAGTACTATGATTTCATGGCTAAAGCATACAAAGCAGAGATAAAATTCTAATCAATGTGAGTTTATTATAACGGCAACAGCCTTTGGTTCAAAGAAGAATTAGCTTTCAAAACAATATTTTAGAATAGTAATTTCTTTGCAAATTAGTTGATTCTCCCCATTAATTATAATTACAGTTAAGCTACTTCCTCCTCCTAAATTTTTGGTTATTTCTTATTTTAGTGTAAGGGTTTTTTTGTTTGTTTGGTTGGTTGGGTTTTTTTTGCTTTTGGGGGGGGTTTACTTTGTCTTCCTAAGATTGATATTCCTCCAGAGAAGCAATAATTGTTTCTTAATTTTTCATTCCACAAAAGTGTGAAAATTTTGAGGAAAGCAAACTGAGATTCTTAGGTAAATTGCATTCTTCAAAAGCATTATTAGCCTTGCAGTGGTTGAGAGTCCGCCTGCCGATGCAGGGTACACGGGTTTGTGACCCGGTCCGGGAAGATCCCACATACCGTGGAGCGGCTGGGCCCGTGAACCATGGCCGCTGAGCCTGCGCGTCCGGAGCTTGTGCTCCGCGACAGGAGAGGCCACAGCAGTGAGAAGCCCGCGTACTGAAAAAAGAAACAAAAAAACCCCCCAAAAAAACAAAATGAATAGTATCAAAGTAGAACTTTGAAGGGAGAAAACTTTCTTTTCCAAAATGATGCATTTCATGTTGGCATCAGCATATCGCGTCAAATGATGGTCAGTCTCTCTTAAAAGTCAACCATAACTCGGTGCCATTGAGTAACCTTCCCTGAGGACTGTGAGCTCCAGGAGGGCAGCAATTCACACCTGCTTTGCTGACTGTGATATCTCCAGAGCTTTTAACAGAGCTCAGCACTGCCAGACACTTGAAAAATAATAATAAATAAAGAATATTAGCACTGCCCTTTTTGCTTTGCATGTGTATGAAAAACAAATATAACAGAAACCAGCAGCACTAGAGATACACTATTATTAAAGTAGCTGTGCTCATGTTTGGGCTTGTGGTACCCAGTCATTTGGGGGACATCTTTAGAGCTAATACCAAATTACATATAAATTATCATTGCTAAATAGTAGTTGTAATCATATATTACATCCAATATTTCTGCTAGAAATACTCTATTTAAAGTAGCTAAAGTTGCAAAGATATAAATAGATTGGGCACTGTTAGTATATAATTATTTTCAATGCTAAAAAATATTTGTATGTAATTAACACTTAAAATACTTTGGAAAATCTCTCTTCTCCCTCTGCCTCTGTCTCTGTCTCTCCTATTTCTCCATCAAGAATAAAAGCATCCTTGTGATTTATATGCAGGCTAAATTTCATTATAGTTTCTCTAAAGAGAGAAAGCAAAAAAAAAAGGCTTGGTTAAAATTTGATTGTAATGAAAAGATTAATCAAGGAAGAGATCACAAAACTGTTCTCTTCTAAGAGGATATTGAGATAGAAGACATTTCATCTGGAAATCCATAGTCTACACATTCTATAAAATACTGCACATCTTCTGGGCTATATCTCTTGTTCCAGTTATTACCGAAGTGACAGGTTCTGAGACATTCTCCAGCAGCCTCATGTGGTACCACTTGACTGCAGTTTGCCCCAGGCTGTGTTGAGGCATCTTTCCCTTACCATCCAGGGGCTTCTCTGACTCATGATATGGGAGCTTGTGGATTTCCACTCAGCACTAATAAATGTATCACCCAGGAGTGCTGAGGAGTTAATACCATTTAGGTCCACCCTCGACCACTGTGGAGGGTAAGAACTCAAGGATAAATTATTTCCCCTTTTGTCTACCAGGCAGACACTTCTGAGACACATTTCTAAGATTCCACAGAGGTTCCCAGTGAGAAAGAGCACCTGTTACTTGCACTAGTGGCAAACAGTAAGTATATCCTTATATTAGCTTTTCTTATCTGTTCTACTTTTCTGGAACTTCAGTTCTGCTCCCTGGGATCATTCCCCAAATAAATAAACTACTTGTATAGTCGTCTTTGTCCTGGACTTGACTTTTAAGATGAACTGGGAGAAGATTACCAGTTTTTCTGGTACTTTCTATGAATGCCTTTCTAACAAGATACATTTTCTAGAATAATTTTAGATGATATCATTTTTCAGTTCAAAGTTCTCTAATAGTACGTCATCATTATCAGAATATTTTTACAATGACCTACAAGTCCTACTCTACGTGTTAATCACACTACATCTCTGTCGTCATCTTCTATCATTCTTTCTCTCTCTCTCACTTTACTTTAGCCACCTTTATTTCCTTAAAGTTTTTGAAACTTTCTTAATTATACATTCACTTTGACCCTTGGACTTGTTACTTACTTTCCCTGGAATGTTCTTATACCAGATGTTTGCATGAAACACTCGTTCATTTCTGGCAGATCTCTACTAAAATGTTCTTTCCTCAAAGATGACTTCCCTTATCATCCTTCTAGAAGACAAACACATTATTCTGTATCCTTTCCCTCTTTTATCTTTCTTTTTAATGTTAAGAAGAGAAGGTTTATTCAGGAAGAAAACAGTTATAGAACACCTTTGGGCCCTGGAGTCTGAAAGCTATATTAACAATAAAGGAGAGACAGAGTACAAATGAAGCATGTGGAAAAACTGATGTTATTATTATTATTTTTTTTTTTTTTTTTTTTGCGGTACGTGGGCCTCTCACTGTTGTGGCCTCTCCCATTGCGGAGCACAGGCTCCAGACGTGCAAGCTCAGTGGCCATGGCTCACAGGCCCAGCCGCTCCGCGGCATGTGGGATCCTCCCGGACTGGGGCAGGAACCCATGTCTCCTGCATCAGCAGGCAGACTCTCAACCACTGCGCCACCAGGGAAGCCCCCTGATGTTATTATTATCTGGTTTAAATCCTTTCCCTATTAGGCAAGAGGGCAACCACTTTCTGGGTGATAAAACTCTATGCTACTGTCTCAAAAAATATATGTCATTCTGTTCTGAAGGGCTAGGTTCTATTACCTCAAAGGCTAAGGAATGGATAACAAGACAATTCTAAGGAATAGAGAGACAACTAAGGGTTGAGTCAGAAAGTCACAATTTTATCAAAAGTCACAAGTGCAATGAACAGAATTATAGTTTAAAATGTGCGTTTAAATGTAAGGTTTCTCCAAGGATTCCACAGAAATGCAAACTCATCTATACCACCATCAAAGGTGAAGGCAGAGACTGACTACTAAAAACGCTGTGTATTGAACAGCATATCCCTAGGGATAGCTCTGGTGCGCTAACTCAAGTACAACCTAACAGCAAGGACATGTATATTTTAATGTCCACGTTTATAAGAATGGGAGCAAATAAAACTGTTTTTCAAAATTGACAACTTCTTTCAGAATTACAATAGTTTC